ACAAGATTAATACCAAGAGGAACTATATATTTAGAAGATCCTATAATAAGTCAAAATTAGGGTCAATTTTTAACTTTATCAAAGGCCTGAAACCCTTTTAATCAAAAAAGAATCTGAATTTATCCTTAACAAAAAACCTGCTTGACCCATGTTTATTCTGGCTCTTCAGGCAGCCGGTTAGAGCAATTATTATTATTGTCTGAAAAAAAAGCCTTATAACTAAAACCATTCTTAAACAAACGACACTGTTCTCCTGATCCAGGTGGAGGGGTCTGTGTTTATTGAGTCTTTGTTTATTTTGTTATTCCAAACAAGACCTAGACGCTCAACGGAAGCTCCCAAGGGTGGCACCACTGAGTCTACTGCCAACAGGCAGGAAACAGAAAGTGGGACAAAAACACTTCTATCCTCACCCTGTTACTCAGAAATATCAGCATGTTTAATATCATAGCTTCTCGGTTTCTCACAACTGCAAGCCAAGTAACATCAGGAAGTGCAACAACAGGCACATCTATTCTAAACGTAAACCATGAGAATATACAAGATGACAAAATACTTTCATTTGTGTGTTTAAATGGTAGTATCTAAATGTGGTCAATGATGGCGATGAAGAGCATATTGCTCACTGATAAAGGGTGTATTCCCTTTAACAGACTGTTGCTCAGAGAAAGCCTCTATGTTACCATAACCTTACCAGGAATAAGTGGATTTGTCATAATGGAAGGATACAGTATGTGAAATAATGCATAAGACTTCCCTTTTTTACGTTTAAGGCATGGTCCATCAAGTTCTTAGTAATTAATTCAAAGATATTAGAAATACAGAATAAAAATACAGAATACAGAAATACATTAGAAATACAGAGCTCTCATTTAGACTGCTCCCAATTTTTAAATCCAAATTTGAATCCCTCATTTTCTGCGTCTGCAAGGAATATGCGGTGCAGGAAAAATCAACAGACCAAAGGACTTCACCTCTTTCAATTTCAATTTCAGATATGCCTTTGCTATTCTTTAATAGCTGAAACAGTGTACAATGTAGCTCCTGTTATATTGAGCACAAAAGAAAACACTTAATCATACGCTCTCTCTCCCATGAGAGCTGATAACTAGGGTCTATTTTCTCTAAATAGCTGCTGTAATATGGTGATATGGTAAGTCACTTGAAAAAATGAATAACGACTAAAAGAATTATATATACACACAATTACATAGATAGCCTAAGTGTGTTAATCTGGTACTTTCATCAAGTTTTACAAAGAAATGCAATGGCAAACACGGCATTTAAACAATCAGGAAATCAGAAAATTATTCACAACATTCAAAGGAAAACAACAGGCACATTGAAAATGAGGGAAAAGCTGGAGAAACTCATGCAATTATTTTTTTCACATATTTCTCCTAATGTTAAATTGTATAATTATTTTGTAAAGTTCCTACTGCTCAATATTTGGAAAATTCTTTAAAGCAGCTTGGGCTTTCCTTTTTTCTGCCACCACTGCCTAAAGAAACTCTGCTCTTCAAAGATTTTTTTTTAAAAAGGAAAGAGAAAAAAATATAATTGCATCTTCCTGAAATCCAAATAAACTGCTTTGAAGAAGGAAAAAAAAACATGAGAAAAATGTTAACTCTCACAGCTGTGGCATAGGAAAACTAAAACACTTGATCCACCAGGCAGCACAAGCTTGAAAAATGGCCCTTTTTTCCAGGCAAAGTGTGGTCAGAATGATGTCATCAAGAACAGCCCAATTAATTTCCTATGGCTGCAGCAGAGAAGCAAATCCAGGCATCTCAGCTTTTTACACAAACCACCTTGTGGCTTTTAATTAGACCAACCATCTGGCTAACAAATTAAACGAGACTCTACTAAGGGGCTGTGATTATTATTTCCCATCTTCTGTCCAAAACCCTATACTGACAATCTACAAAAAGCATGAACTGCACAAGACTCCTTTCCTGTTTTTATCTATAGAAGGCTGCCCTAGAGAGAGGTACACTGTATTTTTGTACCTTGCATTAACAGGTGTAGGACAATGCACTGCTCCAAGGCACCTGGCATTGATACAGTGCACACCCATTCTCCCTGCTAAGCAGTTTGACTAACCATATGTGTATCTCAGCATGTCTGTCTATCTGTCTTCTCTGCAAAATAATTAGAGAAGAAAGGGAACAATTCACAATGCTCATGTCTCACAAGAGTTGTAAACACTTATTGAAAAACATTTTTTTACTTGAAAAGAAAAAAAACTGGGGGTATGGTAATTTGTTTTCAGTGGTTTTTGACATATGTGTGCTAACCAGAACTTACAATGGATATAAAAAAGATACAAATGCAATAGAGATGCATGGTACTCTTCTAATGACTATTAGGATGACAAAAAAAACAAACAGAAATGCAACAGACTTATCTACATGTTTGCATTAAAGAGGCGCTGCAAATAAAAGGAACAGAGAAAAAAACCTTGTAAGTTAAATTAACTAGGCACAGGACTTCAATAAAACATAGACTAGGAAATTCTAGAAAAAGCAGTACTTGCTCTCCAAACTGTAGCAATTAAAGACAATCTCTCTCACTTAAATTATTAGTATTAATTATTCATGACAAAACCAAACACCACGACTGTTCTGTTCCTACATGGAGTTGGGACTGAGCAGGATTGAAAGGTGAACAGTTTACACTGTCATCACTCAGAGCAGGAAGCACACAGAACAGACACTATTGGTAGTCCGCTCTGGTGCATCAGAAACACAGTGTTCAAGTCACCCCAATGGTCATGGTAAAATCGTCTGTAATATGTTACTTTTTTTTTTAATTGGGGATTTTCCACAATGGAAACTGAAAGGTTCTGTATCTGACAATAAGAACATGGTGAAATGGCATTGTCGACTGCTGCATCCCCAATTTTTAGTTGTGGTTCTATTCCAGGCTGTTACGGAACCATCCTTTCTTTCTCTCTCTGTCTGTGTGGGTTCTCACCGGCTCCGATGGTTTCCTCTTGACGCCTACAGATACGCCGGCAGAGATAACTGATGTCTCTAAACTGTCCTGTGTGTACTGTATGTCCTGTGGTGGACAAGGTGCCCTACCTTTCCAGCACAAGACCTGGGTAGCCTCGACACGTAGCAGGAATGGATGAATGAAAGGATGAAGCAGAAGGTATCATAGCATTCAATTGAACTGCTTCTCTAGCCTCTGTGAAATTCACAGACTTTAAACACCCACTTTAATTATCCCCCTACTAAAGCTCTGAGACTATACAGCACTGGAAATGTAATCCTGTCAGTCATTCAATGCTGAATAAGAGATGCATTTGTCTAAAAACATACCCAGGCAATAGTTACAAATTTCACGGTTCTATACTTTCTATTCAACAAATGAGCTCTGCCATGGGATTCACACTGTGATACTTGTTTAAATGCAGAAGATTAAGGTGTGCGAGCAGAGCAATCCTGTGAAGCTCTGCTGGGGCCTGGAACTTGATCTTAATACCGCTCAACACTGAGTAGCTGCTGCTGCCTCAAATTTCACGCAGAAAAGACACAAAACAAAAACTAGGAAACTAAAAAAACGTGATTACAAAGTATAGCAGAAGTAGAAGAGAAAAAAAGTTGCTTCAGAGCTCTCAAAACTTAAGTGCTGGTGCTTCATTTTTTACATGCAGTACATGGTTGCAGCCTTTTGTGTTTCACTCATAAAATGCCTTACCAGGACTTTAAAATACCTGGAGAAAGACAAACAAACCCCAGGCATGGCGGAGCAAAGGAGGCGGGGGGGTATTTAGAAAGAGGAAGCAGAGAATTATTCACTGTCTGCTTGGAACAGCAATGGAATGAACACCTGTCATGCAGAACAATCAGTGCAGAGGTCAGCTCCTGCACACAGAGGGGAGTGTGAGTATCCACCCCCGCTCCTCGCACCCCTTCATATGGAAAACACATTCCCAGCTGACATCAGGTGCTGTGCACTGTTCACGTCTCAACAGAAAGCCCTGGGATCATGTCAGGAGGCAGCCAAAACAGCTTTGGAGATCTCTTCTAAATCTGCTTTATACTGTACGGTACTGACTCATGTAAAACAGGTCATACGTTTTACTGACGCAGTTTACACTGCATAATAAGCATTCACAACGAACTGTGTACATATACACATATATACAGTACAGTGTGGTGAAAAAGTAAGTACGATTTTATAGTTTGACATATTTAGCCCTCATCCCCACCAACTCCTAATAGCTGATAAAACTAACCTCATTTGACAAATAACACAAAACACTTCTACCAAGTCATTATTTATTGAAACAATCAGCCTGCTATGAATGTAATATAGTATTTATATTGGTAAGAAAGTACATTTCCATGCTGAACACACCCAGCCCCGGTCCAAAAATTGCACCCTATACTGTACATCACCAATGCTACAAAACCGAGGAAGGAAATTAATAAAATGAATTTTGTCTATTTCATGACAAAAGTATTTCTAACTTAACACCAGCATGTTTGACGGATGACACCTTTGAATCCACGTTATAACAATACATCAGCACAAGAATTACTTAAGATGAGGATTTTAAGTCTCAGTCCAAAAAGACATAAGCTACTTATTGCACAGAGGAACAGGGCACATGAAATAGATTTGCTGATTGTACACTGCAAGACATTGCTAATTGAATGACTGCTGCTTATCCTTAAAATTCTGATTTAAACACATCTCTCATCTTTCCCTGTAAGCCGTCAAATACAGCATGCCCCTGTTGTGGGACAACCGTGAGATCAATATCGGGCCACTGCAATGTACACGTAGGGGCTCTGCCGCATTTCAGTCACAACACGCGAAGTGTCGCCTTGACCCAGAGGAAAGTGACAGTCCATTGACAAGCCAAAAAGCAAACTGTCGCGAAGGGCACCTCAGGACTGATGGACTGATTGACTTAGTGTTTATACCTCATTACATACAAATGCCGAATTCAATTTCAATCTGTTCAGCCCCCCCCGCAGGCCTACCTCTCTGTCCTTCAGCTTCATAGCCAGGACCAGCTGGTGCCGATGGTTGGTCAGGGCCTCGCGGTAGTTGCCTTTGGAGAAGAATGCCGATCCCAGGTTGCCATGGGCTCGACATTCACCGGTTTGGTCACCTGGCAACACAAACGCCGTGAGCAATTAGCTTGCAATGAAATCTGAAAATATTTAACCTTAGGACCTGAATGGAAAGAGCTGCATTAGAAGTTGCAAAGTTGCAAAAGAAGCCAGCAAAGATTTCTATTTGCTAGAAGGATGCTATGTGCCGTTTAAGCTTTGTGAAACCGAACAAACCCTCGTCTCTTTAGAACACAAGTCTTGGAATAAAAAGTGTTTTTTTTACACACTGTACTATAGACAACATACAGTATAATACTTCAATGTTTAAACATAATTTCATGATGATAATAAACCAATGTTTTTACACATGTATTAGTGTTTTAGGAAAGCATAACAAATATCACAGTACTGTATTTTCTTTTTAACAATATTTATTACCTTTTCGTTTGAAATACAGCACTTGGAATTTGCTGTTGGAACCTATACTCCATTCTATTCCCCCCAGAAAACCTTTGGAAAAGAGATTTTTGTGCAAGATGCTTTCATTGCAAGGTGTTAAAATGAGAAAAAAATAAAAGGAGAAGTATTAAAAATAGATATTCCTGGAGTGCTGGTCAACAGCTCTACAGCTCCTGTTCTGAGCTGTAGACTCCTACTTCAAATGCATACTGTAGGTATCAAGAGAAAAGATGGGGAATCTGCTCCTGTTTGCACAGACACTCAGAGCACCGCTCAGCACGGCCTCATACACACTGCAGTCATTGTTCAGCCCAAGGAATTCTTTTTGGAAAAAAAAGAACACAAAAAACAACTGTGCAGAGGAAATAACAGTGGTGCTAACCTCTCACACTGGCGTGAAAAGAGGCATCATAAAGTGAGGATATATGATCCTGGGGTGGTAATTACTCTAAATGGCTCTAGTCCGGCTCACACTATGAGTAATGTGTGTTTCCAAATAGCTTCTGAGCCAATCCATATAAAGTGAGCATTATGGTACATAACTAGAAATCGCACATGCTGTTATAAATAAAACACCAAAACCGCATGAAACTAAACACTGGCTGTCTATTTCACCCTTATTTTTGAGAATGATAGCAGTAGGACTTTGCAATCCTCTCCAATATGAATAAACTTGACAGTAGCAACAGAATGCTAGAATTACAGGTTAGACTAGCATTCAAAACGGTCAGTCTTAGTTTTGCTTTATTGATATCCAGTTTGAAAGCATAATGTTCTCATTCCTGTAGATTTACAGTAGGATTTTTTTCTGCTTTGCATTTACATATACTGTACTGTATCTCATTTCCACCCTGTAAAAAAACTAAGATTTACCTTGTAGATGTGTTTTTTTCAGCTCAACAAACCTGGCAATGGGTTCATTAATACCCACCCAATTTGCAATAGCAGGTGGTTCGAGAATTTTCAGCAACACCTCCAGTACTGGATGAGGAGTATAAAGTGCAGAAGATGTGTTCCTCTGAAATGTCAACTTATCAGATATTTTTTTTTATTTGTCTCAAAGGACAAAATTAAGAATACAGAAGAGTTGAAAATTCAAGGAGTGGCTCTTAATAATGTCTTGCTAATGTTATTGGATGATGGCAGGCACCCGGTAAGTCACTAAAACTGCAGTTCCAATGAAAGCCAAGTCGTTTTCCTAGCCTACAACTTCCCAACCCACCCAGCTGGTGAATCACAGTCCCAGTCAGCTAGTGACATGACTCAGGCCACAGAGATCAAATGGCTTTACTTGTTGAGCCATTCAGGACATACAAAACACTGCTGGACTGGGGCTCTCCAGCTCCAGGCATTAAGGACCATGCAACTGTTAACATTTTTAACAAACATGCGCATAAACACCTGTCTTTGTGAAATTCACACCCAATTCAGTTTTTTCTTTAAAACGCTTTTTCAAATGACTTTTCTTTTAACAGTCTGCAAAATTCATTATCTTCCTTAACCAATTAAACAGCTTGCCAAAGATTAAGATAACACTGAGTACACTGAGTATTTGTTGTTCAGCAAATATGTTGTCTTAAGTCACAAAATAAGCTTTTAATTTAGTTTATATTGTTCTTCACAAAAGCTGTGATTTTTGAAAAATGAAAAAAGTAGTTGTACAGAAAAAGAGGCTCAGTCAAGGTGTGAAATCACTTGTCTTCAGTAACTGATATGGCCGCATTCAGGAAGCATAACTGCAGTTGTAATTTGCAAAACATTCAGTGCTTTACAAGCTGAAATGTCAGAACAGACAAGGATGAAAGGAGAAAGTTCAAAATCTAATTTTATTCCATTTTCTATTAAAGATGGGCTGTGTCATGCTCATGAGCTGGACAGGTTGCAGTGATATTTCAAAATGTTCTTGTATTTGTATATAAATGTGGTGATTTAAAAAAAGAAAAATGTATAGGTAAACTTAAAAATTTTTACTGATTTAAACAGAACTGTACAGCTAGACTGTTATATTATGGCAAGATACTATTAAAATGTAAATTACCATATTCTAGAATAAACAAACAACATCATTTTAAAGCATATGGTTAATCACAGCAGCATTAATTGTACATGAAAACCATACCGACTCCTTTTTGGACAGCAGCAGAAGAATCTCTGGCACTGGTGCGCTGTTGACTTATTACTGATCTTTACAGCACAGCCCAGAGGGCAGAGGGCCCTGCCTTCCAATTGGTATGTCAGTGGTGTCTACACACGCAGATGTTGGTTTTGATTTGTATAAAACTTTTCAGTACGCAGCTTGGCAGGTCCCTTTACTAAACACCGAGCAAAGCTGGGGATACTGGACAACTCAAACCCTCTGCTGTCTCCTCACATACATCTAATATTGATTTTGTGTTGAGTTGAAAGTGATTTTTAAAATGGTCATCTATCAAATCCAAATAACCATCAAGAGGGTCTGTATAATGCAACAAAAGCATATCTATATTTTAACTCATCTTTTTCTTTAGCTGGATAAAACAATTGAAAAAAGAGATAGGGATGTTATGAAGAGCACTTAAAGATAAACACATCAGTTGTAAACAAATCTGTTATAAATCAGAAACACTTACACTCTTAATGACTTGTTCATGATCTGAAAACCAAATGTAGGAGTGCATCTGCTTACTAAATTCACAGTGAAGAGATTAAAGTGGAAGCACAAAGACGGCCAGATGACTGAAAATCCCTAAATTTATGCTCACAGTCAGTGAAACACCTGTCTAAACAACTAAATAAAGTTATGTTATAATTGTAACCAATGGGCACTGTCACACTAGGTAAACAGTGTGAACTATTTTTCAGCTCTGACCACTAATGGCTAAAAAGAAGAGAAGACAAATGGAAGCTGACAAGTATTACAGTGCACTTTTTTTGTCCTTTACTGCCACATGTGTGCTGCCGCCACACCCATTTCGAACTGTTCTGGGCTCTCACCTAAAGTCTTTGCTACTTCTAGGTCCTGCTGCATGTAGCCAGTGCTCTTCTCTGTGTTGCCCAGGGACCAGTATGCACTGCTGAGGGCAGAGAAGACGGACCCCCTGAGCTTCAGGCTGCACGTGCCGATCTTCAGGGCGGCCTCCAGCACAACCACAGATGCGCCGTGGTGGCCGGCTGTCAGCAGCTCCTGGCCAATCACAGACACCACCACAAACGGACTCTTGTCCAGCTTCATCTTCTGCAGCTGCTGATAGGTGGGCTCCAGCGATTCTACAGCAGAGGCACAGGAGGGAGGAGTAGAGAAAGATCAAGGACAAGCACTGAGTTCAAGTTCAATAAGTGAAGCAATCCTCAGGTTTCTCAGGTGGCAAAGAACAGTTCAAACACAGTAAGGTGGACAGTTCACACAACACATTTCCCTGAAGAGCAAAAAAATACAATTACAATTGTACTGACATGCAAAATATAAAAATCCCCAAACCAGAGTGATTAATGGCAAACATGAGTATGTATCTTCTCAGTACATCTGTAGCTTGATGGCATTAATATCTTTTTCATGTTTCGGAAAGACAAAGTAAAAAATTATTATTTTGCTGGTCTACAAAAGAGGCTGCTATAGAAAGTTAGTCATCAAGAGATTGCATGATCCTTTGGTTGACACTCTGGATACTGTAGCAGCTGACTGACTAGCATCAGGAAGATAAGTACTGTATTCTAAAATGGAAAACCTGCAATGAAATACACAGCATGTAATGTGTATTATATCTGCACAATGATGAAGATACAGCATATTTCAAGAGATGGGTATCTAACTAAATTGCAGTACCTTTATTGAGAGATACAGTACTACCTATTGACTTTTACCACGATATAACCTTTCAAATCATTACTAATTGTAGCAATACATTGTAAAACATTCTTTCTTGTGTATGTGTACGCATTCAGATAGGTACGACCATGTCTAAGTTATATCTAGGGTTCCACTTTCTGCATTTCTTTGAAAAAGCTATGAATCAACCCTATGAATACAGTACTCATACACCCAGGGGGGCGATAAAAAGGCATGGTGAACAGCAAAAAGCAAGAGGATGAGAAGAGCTGGAGACATACTTGCGCACCAGGTCAGGTGGAGAGAATCCAGAAAACCTTCCTCTAATTTATAGGGGTGAGGGTGCCTTTTTTGAAGTTAAAAGTAACTCAGAACTCACATAAAATGCAGTTCAGCAAAAAAGCAGGTTTATGAATATATGTACAGTTAACATTAGCATATTTACAGTTGCTATAAATTAGGTAAAATCTCCTGGAAAACCTATTACTAAAATTCTTTGTGCCGTAGTGGTCTTTCAAATCTGTCATCAGTGGCAGAACTGGTTCTCAGAAACAGCCCTGACTGAAGCGTTTTTCTACATCACAGAGGCTGCCACAGAGCCTTGTACCTTAGAGCTTGCTTTCATGTTGTACCTGTCAGAAGTAGACTGGGTGAATCACGATAGTGATACATCTTCCCTGCAGAAGAGAGTATCTGCCATACACCAGTGAGGATGGCAACGGTTGGATCCATATCTGCCTTAAAAATGACCCATCAACACTGAGGGCTCTTCCATCACGACAGCAGTGACTGTTGTTTAGTGTTGGTGGGGTTTGGGGTCTAAAAGGAGGATTTAGGTCAGCATCTTATTTTTTAAGTAGTAGTAACAACAGCAACATGCCTGACATGACTGTGCTTCTACAGTATCATCCCTTCCTCTTCCACCAGTAAAGCAAGTCTAAATGGAACAGCCCTTCAGCGTGACGCATTCCACCCCATTAAGTTTGATGCAGCTGAACCCAGCACACACTCCCCTGTGAAAAACATACTGCATGCTTGTTTGAGCCCTGGTTCTTATGTAGAGCAAAGAGGTCCTATAGATGACACAAACTGGACATTTGTGCATTTAAATTTAAAGTGTGGACTTTCATGTCCTTTGAACGCGCCGAGCGACCACAGATAGCATGCTGGCTGGCTACTCCTCGGTTCCAGTAAGAGTTAGGAAGAAGGGGACCCTAGCAGAACCACAGTGAGATTGAAGACATTTGTGCTGAAATGTGGGTGTTTATCCCCCACATCCCCATGAACAACTCGAAAGCGCATTTGACATGACACCCCATAAATCAACTCCGGACGCATCACAAGGAAAAAATCAAGTGATCTTCACAGCGCTCAACCTCATAAACACATACTTAAGGATACCAAATGAGACAGCCAGTACAATGCTGGGAAAGCTATAAAAAAAAACTGGAAAGCGCAGGGTGCCTCGCTCTCAAACAGAAGCTGGCAGGGGCTTGTTTAATGAACAGTCTGTGCTCTACTTGCCGTCTTCACGCTGTCTTGTCTCAGTGAGAAAAGCTTTGACACATAACATGTCACCTCCTGGGACTTCAAGAAAGCCTGGGAGAATAATATTTACAAAGAACAAATCTCACCTCCATTTTCTTTCACTTCTATCAAACACATTTTTTTTTTTCATTTCACAAATGCTAACCCTTGTAATTTCTTTGTCTTTTTTTCCCATCAGGTGTAGTGAATGCCCGACCATACCAGTATTACGCTGACATTCTGTACCTACGTACTGTACAGACTAAGGAAATACATTGCTGACCCTACACTCAGGGTGTAGTAAAGAATAAATATATATATATGGTATGCATTTTTAACAAGCAGAGATATCAGTGCATTTAAATGTGAAGGCCACACCATCTAAATGATTTTAAAACAATTGAAGGTTTATGGGTTTTTCATTGTCAAATCAAGCTGATGATGGCCAGAAGTTGCTATCATGAATTGCTCCTGTTGAATGTACCTCAGGAACACTGGAGAGCTATGAATCACTTTAGGCAATTTTAAGACGGTGCCTCTTCACAGTAAATATGTTTCAGCAGCTGTTATGGTAATTAGAATAATTCTGCAAAGATGCTGATGCAGAAAAAAATCAAGTGTGAACGAAAGCATAGACATGCAGCACACTCCCAGCAGATCGAGGGGGGTCTTCAGTATGTCTTTTACAAATTCCCATCTATTTTCTGGAATTCCTGTCTATTTCAATATTCTTCAGATCCAAACATACCTGCAACATTTTCCATCAAAACATTTTCTTCCAATTGCAAAGTGACTACAATCCTCCAACGTCAGTCTTCCATTATAAGATGTGAAGAGATGGAGGAAGTCTCCTTGGTTGCTGTCCTCTGTCAATCTAAGGTGTCTCTATCCCTAGGCTACAAAACTCATTTTGCGCTTAACCGTCTGCAAACTGATGCTGCCAAAGTCATTTTAAACCACAAGAAGTCAGAACATCTTTCAACAATAGATGTACAGTAAGGGGGGCATTTCAAGAGGCCAGCCCAAAGTGGAATTTTAGCTGAACAACCCTGTTCTTACAAACAATGCCATGACATTTCTGACCTGAGCACCTCGGTTTCACCTGATTACAACACTGTGCCTCTGGTTAGCAAACTGGGGCCTTGCTTTTGGTGCACCTACACTGCTCATAGCAACATCTCAACCTCCCGTTCCAGTTCACACCTGGCCCAGCCTTGATCAGCTTCTCGGATCAGTGCCACAGGTTAGTATCACTATTTTAAAAACAAAAACATATAGCATGAGGTGCATTCATAACAATACCATAACATAACCCTTTCCTTCAGACTGCCTGCTTTTTCTAGCTATTATTCAGGTTTTTTTTCTGGATTCCCAGGTTTTTCTATATTTTACCTGGATATTTTTTTTCTTTAGTGTGTATTTAGTGTGTTTTAGCTGTCTTGCATTCAGCATTCAATAGTACTTATACTTACATATTGCAAGTAATAAATCTTCCATATTGTAAGACATACTGCATAACGCAGAATTTTGTATACATTGTAAGAGGACCTGGAAAAGGGCTTCTGCTAGGAGAACATAAGAAGTGAAGAATGAGGCAAACTTCTCATTTCCAAAACTTCCACCTGTAACAATTTTACCAAGAAAGCGACTGGATCTGTATCAACTCAAGAGTTTAAATGGCACTGTAGGCTTGAGAAAGCTACATGTATGTGACTGGCTAAGGAGGTTATTATAGAGCACTACTGCTCCCAAGCACTCTGTCAGAAAACAAAACGTTTACATTATTTAGATTTAAAAGTTTAAATTAGATGAAAATTAAATTAAAAGAGAATTTATAAATAAAAATATCCTCGTAAGAAAAGCCCTTCTGTTCACACAAAATCTAATAGATGGTTAGACATTGTGGGACACTGGATGCTGGGCCCATCATTTCCTGACCTCCGTTTTTTGCCTTTTTTTAACGCTTACACAGTGTGGAAAGTTCGGAAGGCCGCAACAAAAGAAAGGCAAACAGGGGAAAATTAAATTATGGGTGAGGTAATCCTGGATTAATACACAGCCCAGCGTATCTACAAAGCTGATACAATTCCTGGCAGGGAAATGACTCCTGCTAATTTGGTAATAAATAGCTGCTGGAACTGTTAGCCAGACATCTTATACATATTTGTCATAATGACAGCCTCTCTTATCTGGAATAGAGAACTTTAAGGACTTTTATCAAGTTCATCGCAAAGGGGAATACAAACAATTCCAAACGGATTTTCTTTCCTTCTCGTCTGCTGAATTCAGTCAGTGTGAAAGGATTCGGGCGTCGGAACATTTCCTTGATGCGGGATACCTGTTGTCAAGTGACTGAGGAGCTGCGCTCAGCCTGTGGTTTCACCCCGGGTGGCTAAGCCAACGCAACTGACTAGGCAGCCTTATCAGCGAGCGCAGCTGTGTTAACTGAAAGAACCCCCCAAAAAAGAGTCTCAATTCAAATCACTGCTCCGAGGGAGCCCAGAAACAGAGGGTGTGAAAACTCAGATCCTCCCCACATGAAATCCAAACTATAGAGACAGCTTCCTTGAAGGCCTCTTGTAGATGATCTCAGTATTAATAATTAATATGAATTAATCCAATGGAGGCACATGTGGAATGAGGCTACAGCCATCTTAAAGGGATTCCTAATAATGTGTCACTTTGAACATTTCCCGCTGCTAGAAATCAGTTTATAATGGGAAAGCCAGTGTTCACTGCAAGAAGACATTCCCAGAGTTGAATTTCCTTCACCTGCAGTCTAAGAGTCTTTTGTTCTGGGAAGATCAATGTCTGGTGCTCTGTAATATCGAATTTTCAAATCATTAATTAATGGTTAGGGACCATATATTTAAATCATACGAGCTGAAGTAAATACAAATAAATGCTTAGCAATCAGATGGAGAGATTAAAATACTATACTATTTCATGAAACATTTGTGCTTATGTGCATGTTGTTTGAAGTTAACCTCTTTAATAATTTAACAGCGCAGGCAAATGCAGAGCACATGCTGTTTTGACAGACTAAAAATCAACTTTATTATGTAAATAATCCATAAATGATATAGTGTACAGCATATAATGCACATCTGATCCAGATAATTTCAAGATGGTTTTCCCATTATCAGTGTTTGGTAGCAAAAAACTGCAACTGAATTGAAAATTATATGGCCTAATGACACACGGCCAATCTCATTTTGCAATTAACAGGTTATTAATGGGATTCTCCTAGTTTAAAAGATTCTATTGGTTTGAAGTGTGCTTTATGGGGACATATGTTTTATGTCATATATTATGTCAAATATCATAAGCCCATTCCATGTGCCACCACTGATAAAATTAGACAGGTTAACTAACAGGATAAAAACGCCAATAAAATGTCACACCGTGCCTTTTTTATTCACCATTTATACAAGGAATCACCTAAAGTTTTCCTTCTGTACTCCCAGAAGGAAATTGGCATTTGGCTTTCAAGGACATGTGCAATAATTCCTGCTGACAGTTCCGAATTTACTGCCATCTCTAGGCCAGAGCTACACTGGCTAGCTCTATTCACCTGGAAGACACACACCCCATGAGTAGCATTCGGAGATCATGCACCCTGTATCATGTTTACATTTATTCTAAAACGTGCTAATGTTCTTTGACATATTTAATATTTTTCTTGATCGCTTACACTTGTTATTTTCTTATGTAGTAAATACATTTTTGTATTATCTATTTTGCATTTAAAGTGAAAAGCATTTGGGAATCTGAAAGAAATTTTGGCTAAATAAGCTGCTACTCCAGAGGAAACACATTTTTATACCTTTTGTCCCCCAGAAAAAGCAAACCAAACCAAAAAAAAAGCAAACCAAACCAAGTGCCATTGATCTCTGCATCTCTGTAATGTGGTGAGGAGTTGTACATCTTTTTTCCCCAGTTAGTTTAAACTTTTAGTTTCTCTAAGATGTAAATCTGTGCAGGTCCAGGTTTCATGTCCGGAAAGTTGCGTTCAGTTTGACATTATTTGAACAAGCTAGAGAAATACTTTTGTCCAGACCTCGACATAATTAAAGTACACATAGTCTGTGTTTCTTTCAGCAACTCTGAGTGACACCCTTGCAATAAAAAATGTAAGCTAAGATCTTGAAGTTGTATGTACTGTAGTAGTACCCTTTAATATTTGACTTAAAAAACTTGTGAAGATGTAAATAATGAAAAGGGCATTTAATGCAAACAGCTGTAGTAGCACATCATGGTGAATGAAGTTATGTTATTCTGACACTGTTTAAATCAAGCATCAGTAATGATTTTGCAAAGAACACATTATTCAGCCAAACTGTAACATCACAATATGTGACAAACATGAAGACAAGATATCCAATTGTGAAAAATACTATTTTTTATTGTGCTGTGTTGCTAGAATACAAAATACTTAGATAAATAATACATTTAGGAATCATCATGCCAAAAAAAATAACCTAATGGTGTCCAGGCCTCTGAGGACTCAAGAGAGTCCTCGTCTTTTTAGCATTCATCTTTTAACTGGTCAATCAACTGCCAAACTACAGTTTCAAATGGAGGGCATAAAAACATTGAGCATGCTAAACAGGGAAAATTATATGCAACTGCTTCAGGAATTCAGCAATTTGAAAAAGCCCCATAAGGAAACCAAAGCTGTAAAAGTTTATTTGAAACAACTGACATTCCTTCATAAAAACACTCAATGATATTCTGTGAACAATAGCAGAATGCTGTCATTGCTGGACTAAGATACTGCCAACACGATGGTCATTATTAGGTCATTCCTGTTAGTGGTTAATTTACTGAAAGTCTCCTAATGACCATAAAAAAAGGCAATAGCTTCTGAACTAAAACTGAGTGGGGATACTGTTTGTGATGCAGTCCTTTTAACCAGTTTAAGCTTGCTGAAGGTGATCACAGCAGTAATAAAACAGGGTGGAGATTCTGAAATAAATGCCTTATTCAATACAGAAACTAAAAATCTTGCCCAATTACAGCAGTATTTTTCCAAATGTGAAACCTACACTAGCTATAAATAATATATGCGTTAATACTAAAATAACCCTTTTAATTGAAACGCTACTGTATTCTCAGTGCTGACTAAAAGATCCATTACAGAGAGTGTGACAGGAACCTAGCACATCTACGTGATGTTCTGTCAAGCACAAGTGACACACAGAAGCCATTTCACTTAGAGAAAAAGGTGAAAGTCATCTAATTAAATATCACAGTCTTTTACTCCATTGCTCAGTTAACCCTTTTTCTTTTTAGTCTTTGAAGTGAAAAGGAAAACACTAGATTAATCTAAAATAAAGCAGGTTAGTTTACTAGCCGAACAGCATAGTATATGGTGGGGTTTTCAAAAAATAAGCTTTGAATAAGACTACAGTGACAACTAGTTTTGCACTGCACCTTCCTGTATTATGCAAATGATAGAATATTCTACTAATCCCTAAAACAAAAATCACAAGTAATAGACTCTATACCCTGATACCCTGGAACTATCAATAGTTAGACAACTCAGTCATGAAGACAGTGCACTGTCATAGAATCCAGCTCATCATGGTACTAGTGAATGCAATCCGGAATACTCCAGTAAACAGCAGTTTACTAAAGCACAATCATCCCGGTGGTTGTTGTTTATGTTGGGACCAACAAAAATGGAATAAGCATTGCACTTTTCCCATAAAACAAATTGCAACAATGTTTGGGAGAAAGCACTGGAGAAAAAGAAGTATGCATGGAAAACCTTCTGTGGTATGATGCAAATGTGGATCTTCCTTCAACCCTCCATCAGCTGTTTTGTTACCTGTATACTGTAAGAACAGGTTTTAAATCGGAAAAAAACCTGTTTGAATAGCAAGCACAGGTCAAAAATATATTTTTGGGGAGACTCTTTAGAATATTGCAATGTAGGCTATGTATGTACTACTGTATATTTACTATACTTACTGTATGTACCTGTACATACTCTTTTTTTACTGCTACAACAGCAAAAAGGATGTAATTTAGAGTTGCAGAGATTATAATGCTTGTGCCATTTATCATCACATGTATTACACTATTAATATTCCCAGGTCTTTGCTAAGGGAAAGGTTGACAATATGCCTGAGGCTGAGGAAAGAAAGTCCTATTTTAAATCGCTTTAGAATAGAAAGGACAGATGTGTTACAGGTACTTGAAACATTTAAGATAAAATCTACAGAGCCTGATGGTATTCTGCCAAATGGATTAGTGGCAATAAAGGATGTTATTAATAGACCATTAACACATCTCTTTCAACACTCACTCAAGACAGGGGTACGGATTATGGAAGGCAAGGTTACGGAAACAAACAAGGATCACTGGTACAGCAAGAAGATTCTCTGGGTATTCAACATGAATTTAAAATAGAATGTTATTGCTTAGTTTGCTTTTTAGAGTTCATTGAACAAGCGAGAGTAGCAAAGGATACAAATAATGACACAGTAAATTTCGGTCTTCTCGTGGCTTATGATAAAGTCCAGAGTAAAAGACTACCCATCCTTATTTAAAAGGGGTCAGATGAACCAGTGTTTTACTACTGAGTACTGATTCTTCACTTAAAAGTCTTTGTAAGTCAATTGCAGGTCTTTCATTTTGGCATAGTACTCTGCATAGTTTCCACACATTTTGGTAAAGCTGCTGCTTTTATTATATGCAGAACCTGAATACATTTTATCGTTACAGTTGTACAGCCCTCAAGGTGGTGTCAGTTGAAATCTGTTGTTATGTCTTTGTGTTGCAATAACGATCAAGTGGAATTATTGATCTGAACAGATTGTGTCGCAAATAAAGCAGCACACTGTGTGAATTGCAAGCTGGGCCATTCACTGGGAGTCTCCTTGTTGAAACAAGGGATGCAGCGAGCTCTGTATCTTGCCGTGGAACAACAAGGGAGTACTACTTTGGCTCCGACGAGCTGCTAGTTGAGGAGAGAAAATTGTCAAGGACAGATTTGGCTTGTAATTAGTAGAATGACCTCAACTCGCAAACAGCTCCTGAGACACAGCCCATTTTACTAGGTTCATTAACATAGGGAGTACCAACTAATTAGACTCATTTGGCAACAGATATGAGGATAATAACAGATCATCCATCCTGTTTGCAATACTGGTCGATTTACAGTAGAGAGGGAATTACGAACCGGGAGTTGGGTTCGGCCGAGGGAGGGGGAAGAGAGGAAACCTGAGTTATTTAAGATTAGAATAATCTTGTAGGACAGCTGAAGCTCAAAGTGTGACCCAGAAAAGCAGATATCTTTCTTCTAGAGCCAGGGCAGCTCTTCATACCTCGTAAAGGAGACTTCATGGCGGCCTCCACCATGCCAACCAGCAGCTGCAGACTCTTGGGATCCTGAGCCAGGCCTGAGGCGAACGCTGCCAGAGCGTCTGCATGCCGCCCAAGATACTGGAGGGCAACGCCCTGTCGGAAGTATGCCTGTGAACAAAAGAGGAGAACTGTCAGACTCCCTGCTGGTGCAGGAGGATGAGAGGCACTATCTACCAGGATTCAGATTCCCAGTCAGGTTGGGTGGACTGTGATTGTCTGTGATTTCGACTGCAGTATAATGCTGACAGCGGCAAGCAACCATTTTACAGTAAGTAATTATACCCATGTATTTTACTGTAGCAATACACCAAAAGGTTCCACCCCCAAAAAAAAAATTTGTAGATGAAGGTTGTGTTTCTAACCGGAGATGCACAACTGTTCCGACTTTATGGAGGGAAGCAAACAGAGTCGATATAACAATGAAACAGCTGAATGTTCTGGGTTTGAGTATACTGTAAGTCAATCATTTCACAGAACCATTCTTGCTCTCGTATTAACGGAATGTTAATAATCTTGCTTTGTTCATTTTTAAACTGAAAGCAAAACTACAAACTGTCTATGTTCTGCCAACTTATACCTGATTTCAAACCGGGAGTACACACAGGTTCTGGTAAGTGTGTTCCTTATACATGATAACAGTGTCATTCACAGGAAACTGTTCTTATTTTCGGTTTTACAACATACAGTAGTTCAATATGAGGTTATGAAACTCCAGTACACCCTGCTTTGCCTGTTGCTAAACACACCTTGCTCAAATTTATATTTACATTTCCTCTTTTTAAAAAGCTTAGAAATCTAAATGTATTTACTGCAGGATTCATGGGAGACAACATGACAACCATGATATCGTTTTACTTCAATACAGGACTATCCCGTCTCAGTCAGTGATCATTTAGTGCTTAAAACGTCCACATACTGTACAACATTTTTGTATTATTCAAAGGTCTATAACTTAAGAATCAGAGTTGTTATAGTGAGAAACAAGCTACTCATCTTATTTTTTTTAAAAAGCTGGGTGAGATCCTCAGATTATTTAGCTGCTAATAACCAAACAACCATGCTCTGAATGGTCTTCTCTTGCTTGAGACCTTTCTAATTTTGCTGGGTGAAATAATTAATAAAACTGAGTTTTATGGGGAATATGGACATGAAGCTTCTGCTCGAAATTAAAATCCTGCATGTACTGCAGTTGTACTTAGACAAATAATTAGTTTTGCACATATATACTTTTTTTCCAGTTCAGGAAAAACCTCTCCTACATTCAAACGCAAAAGATTGACGAACCTTGGCCAATGCAAAAAATATAAGAAAACTAACATTAATTTAGCCAATATTCAAGGTACATTTCCTCCATAAGTCCAGAGCAGACTGCAAATGAAATGCGACTAATCTTCAATTAGCATCTAAAATAGGTTTTCATTAGATCTCCTAAGCAACTTCTCTAAAGCCACTTCTAAACAGGGCAGAAATGAGAGAAAATCAGATGTGACACAGAAAATTTATGAACACCAATAATTAATTTCCTTTCCATTAGGCCATCCTTGATTATGGAGACATCTTTTTTATTTAAATGAATTGGGATGGAGATTAAATTTCTTTCATTAACCTTTGGTCTAACTGCGTTATTATTGAGCTGCACAGGCCACCGTACCAGTTCAATATTAATTACATCTCAAGCGTGCAGGGTTCAGAGCCCTAACTGGAACAGAGTGAAGCAAAGTTGTTAAGCCCCAGGGAACAGAAGACATTTAAAACCACTTCACTTCTTGATTAGATTTACTGTATGACTGCTTCAAAAAAGTGGATTTTTTTAACACTCTGATGAGCAGCAGGAGGAGAAAGAAGGAATGCTTTCGTTTAGTTTGACATCTTTGGCCACTACTCAGGAACTGCTTAAAAAGAAGAGATATGCACTGCATATCATTACAAAGCAGGTGGTAAATATTCCTGGTATATAGAAACTACATCCCCGAACATTAGGGAATGTCAGATACTGTATGTGTTTACTAACTGTATTTGGACTAGTTATAACAATATCAACATGAAAGCAATATCTCCATCCTTATCCTAAGTAGGTGATTTTAAAATCATCTTCATCTAGGATTCCCTCTCTCCTAACATAAATTAACAGTGCATGACACCGACAATCTGATCTCATCCTCACAGTAAAAAAACATTTGCATTTGTGATGGTCAGATCAGAGGGGGTGAATACCACTCTTCTGAAGGACTACCAGCTCTTGCACAAATATTGTCGTGCAAATATTTTCACAGCTCTTGTTTAATATCTGCATAAAACATATATTTGCATTTTTATTAATCATGTATCCAATCTAATAAATCAAATAATTACAAAACAGCATTAACAAATATGCCTGTATGTAGAGCACTCTGTATTTGAACATATATGGTGCCCACAAGGGAATGCAATGGAAGCAAATTTCTTAGTGCTTTACAGGCTGAATTATTGATGTTTTGATACAGAAAAATAAAAAGACCAAGAGATATAATTCCAAAATCTTATAATTGGCAAGTATAAATCCAACTACAAAGAAACTGAATTCAAAACAAAAAGGATCTCTCTTAAATACCTCAATATTAAGTTTTGCCAACTGCTCTAACATTTTCTAGAATAATCTCACTGGCTTGTGCTGAATCCTGCATGTTGCCACAAACCGCTTCAGGACAAAAGAGTGCTACATTTACAGTAAATTACCTTATGTTCATTTTAAGGATGTGCAAATTTAGAATTCTCATTAGTGTGATATTATAAAATAACTGAAAGATTTGCAGAAAGACATCTGCAAATAGTGACATTGTCTAGAAATTACATAAGCAAGACTTCAAATGAGCAGAAGCCATTCCACTCATCAGCTTGCTTACTAGTGTCTGACGTTGCTTAATAGTAAGTGACCCAAGGACATCACACAGCTGCTCTGAGCCCAAGCTGCCATTAAAAACATCCTGATCATAAAATAAGTAAATGATAAAAATATAGCTATACTTATGATAATTAGCTTTTAAAGGCAAATTCTTTTCATCATTAATCAAGAGTGGAAAGTTTTTCCAAGTGGGTTTACTAGGATGCAAGTACGAGCATCAGATGGATTTATGTCAAAATCCTTCATTGCTTCGGTGACATATGAAGGAATCAATATACATACCCTTCACGAAAAAAAGAGACATCCGCATCTTTCATGATTATGGAACGCTTCACTGAAGCTATTCCGCCGATGCAGAAAAGCCATCAATAAACAGTACATGAACTGTTGTGTATCTGCTGCATATTATGGGGAAGCTCATCCTTAAAATATTTTTCTGCTGGAAATTAATAAATATTGAGTGATTGTCATTATGTTGTGCTGTCTGGTGTATTACAAGTAACAGTGTTTCAGTTTGGTTAATGGCTACCGACACAGAACTGGAGTATTGCACTGTGTATCATGTACAAGCATGAGAAACCACTAATGTACAATTAATAACTGGGCCCAAAGGAATAGTAAATCATTAATGCCACGGCTCCATCTGTGCCTTAGATTAAGATAAACACAATTCCACATCAGCTGTATACTGGCATCACATTGCAGGCTGCAGCCCCTCCCCCAGCAGCAGTTTGGCTGTGAGGTATTTTACCAGGATGCCTGGATGATTGACCACTTAGACAATGTGGCTGTTTGTCTTGCTCTCAATGTTTGGTGAATCATTCAACCAGGTGCTTCCAGACACTTTAAGATTCAGATTAAAATGTCATTAATTCAGTTCTGGTTGGTGTAATGGTATGGTAGTTAGCATTTCTGCCTCACAATTTTGGGTCTTTAATTCGATTCACGACAACGTGCGACTCTGTTGCCTTGTGTGCTTGTGTGGGTCCCCCCAAATGGACATCCTTTAGTTTGGGCCACTGTGAAAAGGCCCTTTAGTCTGCATCATAATGAGTCTCCCATCACATCTTTAATCCTTCTGTTTCACATCACTGTCAGAGAAACAAAGTTCTGCAGGTTTTATAGTTAGCCCTTCAAGGCCAGTGTGCAAAGAGCATATCCTTTTTTTTCACCTGAACCTTATCCTACCTCTTTGCAGATTAACAGGGAAGAGACTGCAGTTCTGCTCCTGATGGAATGAGCAATTTGGTATAGCCAATCTACCTGCCTGCGTGTCTTTGGGAAGTGCAAAGGAAACTTGGAGAAAAGCCACATGAACATGGGTAGAGCATGAGACCTTCACACAGAAGGTTCCCCAGTCTGTAATTTCCACACAATCACAGGACCCCAGAGAGGTGAGACAGCAGTGATAACCACCATGCTTGCATTCCGCCCACCTAGAAAGCACAATACAAAAACCCAGTTATATCAGTCAGAGATTAACTGGTTAGGGTTCCTGGAAGTTGTAGTAAAAATGGTAAAATATAAGCTTTAAAACATGGATCTATCATAATGATTCCCCTTTCACTCTAAATACCAAGAAAAGACAAATGTTGCAAATTTCAATAAAACAGGCAATTGTGTGCAACAGAAAATGTATAGCAATTGGATGCCACTTTTACAGGCATTCATCTTACTGTACAAAATTCTAGTCTAGATGGCAGGTAACACTGATTAATATCATTGTGCTGACTGAATCTCTATCAGCAATGTCATGTTAGTTTAGCCACTGCACTAGGGACAACTAATCTAGCATTCCCCCAGAAAGCTTTCTGTTTATACCCTTACCTGCAAAATGGCTTTGCAGATGTAAAATACAGCAGCCCTGCTTGACAGACAATAGCCAAACAGTTTTTGCACATTTCCTCTCAGTACAACCAAACAACAAAATACATTAAGTGTTAATTGCAGTTTGCCACTTCCTACAGCAGTGTGACTGAATGAGCACAATTTTCTGCCTTGTAAACAAGCCACGCCTCACTATACTGTACTTCAGAAAGTAAAGGCAGACGACCGTCTAGCTGCTTTGCTAAAATCATTAAGAACAGACCTCCATTAATGGTGGATTAAACTGATGGATGGAAATTGATGGAATTGATTTATCAATTTGCCTTCAGGATCAATAAAGTCTTATCTATCCATCTAAATTGTAAGTGCTTGGTAAGATAAGGTCCATCTCTATGGTTGT